ATTGTCTCCTCTTCTGTTGAGGAAGGGTATAAAAGGAATAGCTGGGGACGTAAAGTCCGTCAAACCTTTGGGATCTGGCGATCTCCTAATCGAAGTTTTTCACAAACAACAGGCGATTAACCTACTGGGTACCACCAGTTTTGGATCTATCAGTGTTATAGTGAAAGCACATCCATCACTAAACAGCAGCAAGGGGGTAATCAGATGCCTTGCCCTGCGTAATGACGCTGATGCCGCCATACTGGAGTACTTCCATGAGGAGGAGATCCCAGTCTCTGAGGTGCGACGGATTTTGTCCAAGAAGAACAACAAGTTGGTTCCAACAGACACATTTGTACTGACCTTTGCTACCCCATCATTACCTTCGGCCGTAGTGATTGGTTACCAAAGGTGCAATGTCTCCGTCTACATCCCTAATCCATTAAGATGCCGTAACTGCCAGAAGTACGGACATCATGAAAAAAGATGTAGGCGGAAGACCGTTTGCCAGTACTGTGGTCGTGAAGGTTATGAGGACCAAAGCGACTGTGATATTGCCAACCTGCGTTGTGTTAATTGTGAGGGAAAGCATGCTGCTTCGTCTCAAGACTGTCCTGCCTGGAATCACGAGAGAGAGATATTGCAGGTCAAATTTACCCGAAATGTCTCCTTCCCCGAGGCTAGGAGGATAGTGGAGAGCACGGACGTGGCTGCTCCCTCATATGCACAAGTGACGAAAGTCCGGTCGCCGGTTGACAGTGTCGCAGTCAAGGATGCTTCAGTTCAAGTATCTGCAGACATACCTGCCTGGGGCTCACAAGTCCCAGACATGTCTGGCCAAGATAACTTGAAAATCCTCACGGGAGACCCATCTCGTTTCACGTCTATACGAAAACCAACCAAAAACAACAAACAGTCAAAAGCAGCATCACCATCAAAACCAGCTTCTTCATCAAAACCGGCATCTTCATCAAAACCTGCACCACAATCAAAACCAGCACCACAATCAAAACCAGCACCACCATCAAAAACACCTTCCACTTCAGGAGAAAACCCTTCAAAGGTTGGCCCATCTAGGGCACATGTGCGTTCGCAGCGATCTCGCTCACTCACATCTGTTCCTCGATCCCAACTGAGACCAGAGGCAACATCACCTACCAACAGACCTAGGAAAAAAATTAGAATAGCGAGGGGCAAATCTGAAGGACCGGATCTGAATGTCACCTTTGGCAAAGGATCAGAGGACCCGACAAACCGGTTCAATGTCCTACTAGATTTCGATGATGAGATGGAGACGAATGCCTCAGCGCTTCGTGCTTCGACTCCATCGAAATCCAGCCAAAATAGCAAAAGATAAATAATACAATTATCCAATGGAACATCCGCGGATTAAAGGCAAATATAGAAGAATTTCAGAATCTATCAAAAGAATTTAGACCCGCCATTTTTTGTCTACAAGAAATCATGCTCAAAAACCCAATCACGCTTAGAAATTTCTCACTCTACACTAACATTCCAACTGTAGTTAGCAGAGCAGCAGGTGGCGCAGCGGTAGCTGTCCATAAAAATATTCCTCACAGAATGATCAAGTTAAACACAAATTTACAGGCTGTTGCTGTCTGTGCAACATTACACAGACAAATAACCGTCTGTTCAATTTATCTCCCTCCGAGTATTGTTTTCACTTGTGAGCAACTCAATAATCTCGTCTCCCAGCTCCCAACACCATTCATAATCCTCGGTGATTTTAATGGTCATAATAGCCTGTGGGGCTCTCCCAACACAGACGAGAGAGGAAGACGTATTGAGGAATTTATAGATAAAAACAACTTGTGCCTTTTTAACAACAATACCCCTACTTATTTACACCCTGCTACAGGCTCTCGTACCCACATTGATCTATCATTATGCCATCCATCCATTTTACTTGACTATGACTGGAGGGTAAATGATGATCTTTGTGGGAGTGACCACTTCCCAATTTTTCTTCAGAATATTGGGACTCCTCTTGATGATCCTCTACCTCGATGGAATATGCACAAAGCAGATTGGGCCCAATTCCAACACATGTGCATTGAAAAACTAACCATAGACAATTTTACTAACCTCGACGACCCTATCAAAACTTTTACTGAAACACTCACTTCTATTGCCCAAAAGACAATTCCAAAATCCGCTCCAAAACCTACGAAGTTCCTTTTATCTGAAGAATCTTTTAAAACACGCAGTAATCGGGCAGCTGCTCTAAGACGCTACTTCAATTGCCCAACTGCTTCAAACTACAGTGAATTTAAAATTTGGCGGGCAAAGGCTCGGCGATCAATTAAAATTGACAAAAGAAACAGCTGGAGAGAATATGTATCCAAGATATCATCAAACACGTCCTCAAAAAAAGTATGGGATATGATTCGGAAAATAAGTGGGAAAAAGAAAAAGGCAACATCCTCCCACCTCATTAATAAAAACAAAATTTTCTCGTCTATAACTGAAATTGCTGATGCATTTGCAAAAAACATAGCTAAAAACTCATCCCCTTTAAACCACTCCCAAAAATTCCAGTCTTTGAAAAAAAAGAGAGAAAAGAAACGGCTCAATTTCAAATCATCAAACAAAGAAAGTTATAATGAACAATTTACCCTACCAGAACTTGTTGATTCGCTTAGAAAATCACAGGACACTGCTTCAGGTCCTGATGATATTCCATATCAATTTCTAAAGCACTTACCGGACTCTTCACTAACATGCCTTCTTTACATATTCAACCAAGTTTACGCTTCCGGAAAGATTCCCGATTCGTGGAAGAACTCCACAATTATACCTATCCCAAAACCGGGAAAGGATGCTACTGACCCAAACAACTATCGTCCTATCTCTCTGACTAGTTGTGTATGTAAAACTTTGGAACGAATGATAAACACTAGACTGGTTTGGTTTCTTGAGGCCAACGATATAATATCCCCTCTTCAAAGTGGCTTTAGAAATAGAAGAGGGACAAATGACCATCTCATCAGATTAGAGACGTTCATTCGAGAGGCTTTCGCCAAGAAAGAACACCTTGTCGCTGTGTTCTTCGATCTTGAGAAGGCCTATGATACTACATGGCAGTATGGCATCATGAAAGATCTTCACGACCTTGGCGTACGTGGAAACCTTCCCAATTTTATATCTAATTACCTATCAGATAGACACTTCAAAGTCCGTGTTGGTTCAACTTTTTCTGAAACGTCTAAACAGGAAATGGGAGTCCCACAGGGTGGAATCCTATCAGTCACACTGTTTGGACTTAAAATAAATGATATAGTCAAATGTCTTGGTCAATCAACAGAAGGGTCGTTATTTGTGGATGACTTCTTGATCTGTTACAGATCTAAGAACATGCACACGATAGAACGACAACTTCAACAGAGTTTAAACAAACTACAAAATTGGGCAGACGAAAACGGCTTCAAATTCTCTAAATCCAAAACTGTGTGCATGCATTTCTGTCAAAAACGAAAAGCACACAATGACCCAAATCTAACACTCGATGGCACTAGAATTCCTGTTGTTGAACAGACTAAATTTCTCGGCCTCATTTTTGATTCGAAACTCTCTTTCATACCACATATAAAGTATCTGAAGGATAAGTGTTCCAAGGCGTTAAACATTATACGAGTCCTTTCTCATACTGATTGGGGAGCGGATCGTGAAATGCTTTTGCGCCTATACAGATCACTTATTCGAACAAAACTGGATTATGGTTCTATGGTATACGGGTCAGCGCGCAGTTCGTACCTTCAGATGCTAGATCCAATCCATAACCAAGGGCTACGTCTTGCCCTGGGAGCTTTTCGAACAACACCTGTAAAAAGCCTGTACGTGGAAGCAAATGAACCATCCCTTTATGACAGAAGAATAAAACTTTCATTACAATTTGCAACTCAATTAAAATCAAACCCTAAAAATCCTGCTTTCAACCAAGTATTCAACCCCAAATACCAAAACATATTTACGCAAAACCAAAAACTTCTGCCAACATTTGGTATCCGAATTTTGAATTTCCTGCAAGAACTCAACATAAAATTGACGGACATAGCTGAATTTAACATATCTGATGTTCCTCCGTGGACCATTCAAACCCCCGATTTTAACTTTACATTACATGAGCGAGGGAAATCAAGTGTTATGCCCGAAGAACACAAATCCTCCTTTCGGGAATGCATTTCGAATTACCCTTCTCATACACAACTTTACACCGATGGCTCCAAAGAAGGTGAGAAAGTGGCAGCAGCCTGCTGTACTGCCAATACTTGCACTTCAGTCCGACTACCAGACGGCGCCTCCATCTTTTCTGCTGAAGCATGCGCCATTGGTTTGGCCCTCGACCATATCGATGAACACCGCATTAAAAAGGCAATTATTTGTTCAGACTCTCTATCTGTCCTACAGAGTTTACAGTTACGAGATCCTAAAAACACAATCGTACAAAACCTTGCTCTTCGAATATCTCGTATATTAAAAAAGTCTAAAATAACTTTACTATGGATTCCGAGCCATGTCGGAATAAAAGGCAACGAATTTGCTGACAGGGAAGCAAAAAATGCATTGAATCTCGAACAAACAAATATCAAACTACCATACACAGATTTTAAACCTACTATTCGTACAGCCATTCAAAATGAATGGCAGAAACGCTGGTCTCTGGAGACCAACAACAAACTTTTTAAGATACAACCGAAACTTAAAACATCTATTCCCAGTCGGAAAGATCGTAGAGAGGAAGTTGTCCTCGCTCGGCTCCGCACTGGGCACACATATCCTACTCATTCGTACCTTTTAAAACGAGAAGATATACCTTCATGCCACGCATGTGACACTCCATTTACAGTGGAGCATTTTTTAATAGAATGTTCCGATTTTAAACACATTCGTGATAACTACTTCCGAGTCCCGGATATGAAAACACTTTTCAGTTCCGTGGATTCGAAGGCATTATTTAACTATTTGAAAGACATCGGGCTATTTTATAGACTCTGATGTCTTTTAACCCACCTTATCATTTTTGACGTTATATATATATCGCATATTCCATATCATCTATTCGTTATCTCTTTTATTATTTTAACTCCCTTTTATTTATTTTTTATTATCTACACATACAATGCGAATACTTTTAAAATGAACCATTTTATCTGATTTTATCTTCGCTATTCACATGTTTGTTAAAAAAGTAAAATAAATAAATAAATCACCATGGCCCTAAATGACCACAGCCGTCGATGGGCCGTTAAACATAAACAAAGCGATACAGGCCCTCTTGGGCCTCTTGTTATTTATTTATTTTACACATGCAATGTGAATGCTTTTAAAATGAACCTTATCTGATTTTATCTTCGCTACTCGCATGTTTGTTAAAAGAACGAAATCACCATGACCCTAAATAAATGACCACAGTCGATGGAGGGCCGTTAAACATAAACAAACAAATCCCTCAGAAACAAAACTTACCCAAAGTTCGGACCTTTATCTCAGTGGAAATTCCTGACCCATGGCTATCAGATACGTTCAATCTGACGACGTAGTCGTTATCAGGAAAAAGATCAAACAATGTGTATGTCATCAGCTCCCCTGACCAGCGTCGGGGATATTGAAGCTAAATGGTAAGCATTCCTTTCCAACAGTCATGAACTCTATGTGAAAGTGTAGAGAAATACTTCCATTATACCCAGATGTCCACACAATGTTGACGTAGTCGTAACTTACTTTTGAAGTCCTGAAAAAAAAAACCATCTATACCACCCCCTGCAAGTCGGTGATCAAAAAAGAATGTATCTGCCGTTTCCTGCATAATATCGTAAGATGCAACTGATGTCGGAAATAGACGTCATAAATAAATCTTGCTGCACCCATTGCAATATTAGGGATCTTAACATTTCTCTCTATTTACATCAATCTCTACCCAGAGATGTCGTTCCTTTTCAATCACACACACCTCCGTCAACTTTAATGTAGTTAACTACTAAGATTGATCAATTTCGTACATGAAATTGTTCACTTGCTGTTTTCCGACATTCGTTATCCAGATCCACATATGTCTGCAATGAGAAATACTAAGCAATTACAGGACGCTGCAAAATATCACGTAGTATTGCATTCATGCCTTGACATTACATTGAAGTCTTATAATGGATCTCCTCTCTTTTATAACCGACACTGAATTAGCATTTTATAATGTAGAGGTCTTCTCCCAGTTGTTATTTTCCGCAAATCAGAAGGTCCTTATTATTTACTTTAATATTTACCTGTGATTTGAACTCTGGGTTTGAAGATACCTTTCACGAAGTTGTCATGAAATTGTCTGGAAAATATTAGTGAAAA